GCCAAACCTCCGGGTGTGAGGGCTAGTAATACTATCTGGCCACCCAAACCTAGGTAGGTGAAGCAGGATTCGAACCCAACACCCTAAAGCAATAAGCCACAGCTCCGAATTCATTAGTGTAATATAATTACTAGCTATATACGCAAGTAAATAAGAGAAATGATGAGAAGACTCAACAAACAAAGAAGTTAATTACACCTTGTAAGTCAAGAAAAATCAGTACTGGTATATGTCTGTGTTCAGTGATCTGACGGAGGAGGATTTAGCCGACATACCTACGATGACAACCAATACTTGCTCAATCTCATGCAAACGAGTACTCCCTAATTTCCTATAGTTATTTATGTAGAACAAATTCAAGCAAACATAGTCCATTTGTGTTAGAATAGAATTTTCGAGGAGGAAAATATGTTCACCCATCTGTAGTAATTTAGCAAACTGTATAGACTAACGATTAATTTTCATTCATTCAATAATTTATGCTTTTATGACACAAATAGTAAGTTAAATAATGAGATAGAATCGATTCGAATCATATTTACATATATATTCATACTTTTTTTTTATTTACGAAATGATTTGAGCTACATGGGTCATCTCATGCATGAATAGAACGAAGTGGACACATACATGAACACTAGAAGACAGCTGTAACATCCATAGAGAACTAAGATTCTTATTATGTTAGACATAATAATTATGTTTATACCCAACTTTCTTCGTGTAATTTTTTCTTTTTGTGATATTCACAAATGTACTTATCAAGTTTCAAATAGGCTAGACAGAATTATTGAAGTTTAAATTTATGTTATTCAATGTACAAGTTTAATCAAAAATATGAATTGTTGGATATGCTACCTCGCACACTAAGTAGCATATAGGGTTGAGTGTACTGTTTACGAAAAATAGTTGCAATATACGAAGATTAATATCGCTAAAAAAATAACGGTTAGTAGTGAACACAAATAATCTGGGAATTTCAAGCTGGTATTCAACATGGACTGGCATCAGTTAAAGTAACAGTGGGAAGCTGTTTCGTCCTAGTATAGGACTCCTCAGCGATGTGTATCCATGACCACGCCAGGGATAGAAACCAGGACCTTTGGATTCCGTGATCGGCACGTTAACATTGAGCCAACTAACCTGAAATCAATTAATTAATTAATCTAGTGTTCATTGGTGACTAGGTATAAGAGATGATTCCCGAAGTTCTAATGAGAAGTCGTGACCAGTGGGGTAAACCTGGTGGGCGTGAGGACAAATATTCAAAGATGACATTGGGTGACGATTGCGCTATATCGTGAACTGACAGAAGTAGGAAATGTGGATCACTGGATTCCGATCCAGTGGCTCAATAGTAACGTGCTAGCAGCGTAACCTAAAGGTCTTGGGTCCGACCCCTGGCGGAGTAATAGGTGAGCACTGCTGAGGAGTTCCATACTAGGACAACACAGCTGTCTAGTCCTCCCATGTTTCTAATGTTTTTCTAACTGGTGTCATTCGATGGTGAACACCAACTTGAAATCAATAAATCCCACACAAACCTCTAAATTAAATCTGGAAATTCTCTTCAATAAGGATTTATATGAATGACAAAATGAAATGCTATTGAAATCCATTTCAAAGAAGTGGTATAGATGATACGGTGTAGTGGTTGAAGATAAGATGGCGACAGGATTCGAAAGAGTGGTCTCCGGACTACCGGCACTGCACTCAGTCACCTAAGGTAAGAGACATACAGTTGACAACCAAGTCTTAATTTTAATCGCAGAGAGTTTTACCCGACTATCATATGAAAGCATGACGCTTAACTGTCCCTACATTTTACTCATGTTAGCTACCCACCCAGGAATCTTCCTGAAAATCTCAGTCCAACTGAATTAGAGATGGGTAAGTGATAACGTAACACTAGATGGATGAAATCAATTATTTTAGAGAGATTTTATTTAAAGTAAGTGATTATAAAAGACAATGAATCCTGTATTCCTGACTTATGGTATCTAATGTTTGAGAAAATTTTATCCACTCAAATGACCAACTTTGTACGAATATAAATTACCATAAGTAGAATGAAATGAAGTGCAGTGGAGGGTTTTGTGTATCAGACGTTGGTGTATATGCGATAAGTTTGATAGATTTTATTTGTTAATGGACATGTTGCAGATAACTGCTGAATATGCAGCATAAATGTGTAGCAGCTTGGACTGTTATGAAGTAATGTCAGGTTTCATGTTGATAATAACAGACTTCAGAATAAATGTGCTTGTTCTTTATGTCGTCTTCCTAAGAACAAATACCTGAAGCATAATCTGTTCTTGGCTTCAATCAAATTACTTATCTCCAAGTCACGAATATCCTGGATGAAACTAGACAGAAAACTCTTTTGTCTGGATACATATCTGCTCGAAGAATATACATATATGCCCCTACATTTGGAACAACAATTGATCAGTTATCCTGCTAATTTGCAAGAATATTGGCAGATAGATTTTTCAATCACTTCGAAAGAAAACGGCATACTTATGACATATGGAGATTGTTTACTGTATAATGGCCAACTTATACACAGAATGAAGTATTGCAGCAAATTCATCACTGAATAAGTGGATGCATATTAAAAAGGGACAACAAGGACACTGAACAACGGCAGTAAATGAGAATTTTGAATAATCATACAAACGAGATAAGAAGAGGTAAAGAAAAGCGCATAGTGTAAGTAATTGCATAACCAATGATCACAATGATCTCATTTGAGTAAAATGGATACTCTGTTAACTCGGAAAAGAAAATTGATCTAATTTATTTTTTAAACATAAACTGGGCATAGCACAGGCATTCGGAAATGCGCCACATGGAAACAAACTATCTGTTTTGTTGACACATTTTGCAGTGAGATCTCTGTAAACACTTTAAAGCCTTCTCATGTCTAACAATATTGTCTGGGATGAATGATTGGAAAACAGTCACAAAACGGGATTTAGCTAACTCAATCATAGCGTTGGATAGTACCATTGAGAAGTTTAGCGTATATTGGCTTGGGTATACAATCTTTAAGCGATAGGTTTCGGATTGGTCTGGCTAGTTACTTCGATTAAGGAAAGCAGTTATCATAATAAGCCCGCATATAGTGTATGGTTCATACCTTAGTATACAAACCTTTTCCGGTTCTCTGGGTTGCAAAACTTGCACATTAGATCTGTGCTGACCAGCAGGGACAGCAGGATCTAATTTAGTAGTGATCGAAATATCCTGCGACAAAGCCTTGTAGAAATGTCGACCAAAAAAAACCCCAACTTGAGTGACTGAAGAGCTTCTCGAGTAGTTAGCATGTAAAAAGACTATCATTTGATGAGCCATCAATGTAGTTATTAGGCAAATAATCTAACTGACGGTAAGAACGATAACAAATCGAATGGCATATCATTTCTATCATTCATTTGAAATCCTGAAGCATATTTCTCGAATTTATCCCAAGAAATAAAATGATACTGAGTAGAACGAAAACGAATTTGAAACCATGCTGACAAATGGAAGGCTGAACTATGTGCAAAACTGAACATCATTGAAGGCCTAGCGTCGTATATTTACGGCATACAACTTACAGTATATGCTTATTTTTAACAGATCAAATCCTATCAAGAAGTTGCAATTAGCAGTGACGAAAAACTAGCTAGTTAATGTTTACACTTTCCTGTCACTTGTACACAAAAATGTGATTGGTATGTGTTTCAGACAATCATATTTGGCTGGATTATACTGTAAAATTCCGACTACCTCAAACTAAGGTTGATACAACATAAACATCTCATTACACAATCATTTAGACAAACGTACACAGTCTCAAATAAGTATAGACTTTCAGTTTTTAATTTCATTGACAAACACTGTCAATCCCAAAATTACAGATCTGGAAGTGATCGACATACATACAGGCCATAACAACATAGGACCTATCAGAACTGTGTAGCGGTTCAGGTCACCAGAATTTACACTAAAGGAGAAATCAATGGGAATGAAGACAGATGGAAGTAATAATTTTGATGAAGTTAAGGAGAGAAAGTATACCATCTGGGTTACTACGATCGATTTTGAACGATACCATCTAAGGTTTATAAACACAGATTGGCTACCATGCAAACTGATACACTTCTTGGTCTCTATGTTGTACCAAGTTTCTGCTTACACTAAAATGAAAAGTCGATGCGTACTGTGGAGAGTAAAGACTGTACATTTCTTCACAGTTCGGACTGATAATCAGAATTTTGAAAATGACTTAGCATACAGAAACAGTGTAGCAACTAGAACAGTTGTGAATAGGTCCAAGGCACAACACTTCATACACGAACTGGAAGAAAACGTAATGCATAGCTATCTAGCTCTAGCTACATATGTCTAGCCAACGTCTGCTTCGACACATTGTTGGTTGAAGTAGGTTCAGGTTAGAAAAAGGCTCCGAGCGGACAGAGTAAAACATGGTTTCACTGCATGAAGCCCTTGACTGTTCGTCTGAGCCATGCTGGGAAATGCAGACTAGCCGGCCGCGGTCCACGGGACAAGAGAAATCAACGGTTGGAAAATCTAGGTGATATGGCTCAGAACCGATGTCAATGGCGCAGATATATACACACACTATCCTCATTTTAACCGCTATACTGAATTTCATAATCTTCTCATTCTTCCTTCCTCTCGTTTGATACCTTTTACTTCTATTTCCTTCGATCGGTTTTCTTTCCTTCTTCATCTTTATTTTATTGCCTTGTCACTTGAAGTGCTGATATGAGGTGTGACAACTTGGACCGTTACGCAGTAATCCCTGGTTCTATGTTGATTTCGATTTTGATGATGATGAGTCCTAGCTCAGCACTACTTCACTGTATACACTGGTGATCGACCAAAAACAATCGAGCACAAAATCTTAAGATTTCACTAGCATATGATAACATCAACTTATAGACAGAAACAAACAAATGGAATAGAATTCAAGAGGCAAACAAACTAACTTGTAAGTATTTCTTAGGAATTGATGTCTTTGAATCTTCCTGAATAAACATTACATTGTCAGCTTCTTGAGAAATTTTACCACCGCCATATAAACTGTTGATTGTAAGTAAACGACCGATTTCCTCCTATTAAAAATAATTTAAATTAAAGAAATTGTATAAACAGCATCGCACCTTTCGAGGATGAGCCACAATTGTGATGTGTGCACCATTTTCAGTAGCAAATGATCGTAATTTTTGAACAAAGTGATCTTGGCGTTGAAAACGCTCTGGGAAACTACTATCACCAGCTCCTAGTAAGAACTGAATATTATCGATCACTATATGTTCTACGCCAACATCTTTAACTCCGACCTCCATAGTCTACAAAGACAAAACATTAGGCAAGCGAAATATAATAACAGGGAATCGTATAAGCAAGAAATAAACTGGAACAAATTTACCAATTGATTTGTACACTTTACTATTCATCAATCGGCTATAAACTTGTTCATAAGGGGAGTATATTGGATCCAGTATGACTGTAAGAAATGGACTCCGAAATCGTCTTTGAGATAGATTATATGCTTATTGATATTCATCAGCAAGATGTCTCTGAAACCTCTTAACTGGCACAGGCTCAGTGGTTCAAATCCATAACACTTAACACCTCAATCCCAGATATTACCATTGAATTATTTAGGTAGCGACTAACTACCTCCTTACTTCTACCAATAGTGATAGACAGTATCATTCTCGAACTTCACACGCAAGTACATCACTCCAAGTTGCCACACTACAAAGAACAGGTGGACAGAAAGAGAGTGATATCGGAGTAGACAAAGTTGTGATAGAATAAAAAAATTGAAGATGTCAAAGAGTAAATGCATTTGTGCTATTGCGATCTATTTCAGCCATGTCACCAAGTGTCTGATCACTCTGAACCCTCTTCCAACCTAATCCAACTTCTTCTAGCATGGTACATCAATGTAGGCGGTGGTTCGGCATGCGCAGTACATATCCAAGCCATATCAGTCGATGAAGGTTCACAACTTCATCAATCAACTTGCCTGTCTTACCTAGTACCCTTCGTCTGATCTCAACAGTGCTCACATGGTGATTCCACTAAACGCTAGCAATGTTACAAAGACATCTACAAACGAAAACCTGCAACTTCATATCTTCCACTTTTAATGGCCACGTCTCACAGGCGTGCAACAGGACAGAACGGACTGCAACGCAGCATACTTGTTTTTTAATAGATAATCAGCTATCTCGCCAGGTATCTTACTCTTTTGCTTCTTTTATATCAACATTTTTTTTAATGGCAAAGCAATGCAACGTTTTATCGTATTTTGTGCCGATTAATAAATCAGATAAAAAAGATATGCACCTGCTCGTTAATAAAAAATCATTTTTATGGAATCGGAAATGAGTATGACATAATTAATTCACACCAACTACACCTGTATCTTTATCTTTGCCACATTAGCTGATTTCAACTCCTGATAAGTTACAAAATAGCTGACATAAAACTATGAACTGGGATGACGCCATACCTATGACAACCAGTAGTACTAAAAAGAATGGAATAAATGTTGCAAATTTCTCCGGGCTCCTAAAAAATGCACACTCGGCAAAAACATTATTCAAATATTTTATACTACTTGCAAGTAAATCAAAACTACAGACGACATTTTCGAGATAACACAGCGATGACTACCGTTTTCCTTTCAAATTTTTTGGAAAAGAAATTTTTCAACTAGTCAGTTCAACAACCATAACTGCGTTAATGACCTCAGACAACCACAGAAGCCTCATAAAGTACCCAGTGATAAATCAGTTGATAAGTGAAGGCCTAGTTACTAAAAAAAGGTTAAAATGATAGATCCACCTTCTGATTATATCATGCAAAGATCTAAACTTGACAGATATCATAACTGACTCTGTTAATAGGCAGCAATTCCAATAAGCATGAAATCACAAACAAGATATGGCTCCACATGATCTAACTGGATGCACGAATTCAATGACTGTGATAATGATGCAGTCAACGTTACTCAAAATAGTCACCAAAAGGAAGCGAAGGCCACACTCTTCAACATGTATCATTTTTAAAACTAAGTATCCGGAGTTCGATAGCTGGAAAAAGTCACAGAAAGCTTTGAAGCTTCACTTTGTATTCACTGAAATTACGTATGCATCAACAGCAGCGTTTATTATTATTGAGTAATCGTACAATATCTGTCTAATCAGGTAATTCAATTGTAAACCACAGAAAGAGTATGTTAGGACACAGTACCAATTGATGGGAGGGGAGAGTTTGATTTATATGATAAAATTTGAAGTCATTCCTCACCATATGCTTGAGAGAAGCAAAATTTAAAATTCTTTTCAAGAAACTTCAAGTTGGAATTCGTCATGGACTGACACAGGTGGATGAACATTGGAAACCTGGTAGCAACAGACACCTGTTTCGTCCTAGTATAGGACTCCTCGGCAGTGTGCACCCATGACCCCACCGGTGAACAAACCCAGGACCTTTAGGTCCCGCGGCTAGCTCAGTGCCTCAATGGTAAGGTGCTGGTCGTGGAACCTGAAGGTCGTGGGTTCGATCTCTAGTGAGGTTATTAGTGTGCACTGATGAGTCCCATGCTGGGATGAAACAGTTATCCAGTCATCCCAGGTTTCCAATGTCCCTCCAACTTATGTCAGTCCATGATGAATTCTAACCTGAAATCAATTAATAAATCTCCACAGACTTTCAGACTGTAACACTATATTTCCTAAATTAAACAAAAATATTACAATAATTCTAACAATAGGTTTAAATGGCAAGGTACTGAAAAACTAGATGGCTTCCAGTGTGCAATAATCATCTTGTTGTTTAAAAAGTAGGAAAAAGGAAATATTTCGGGATTGGGTATCATTTACTAGAATAAACTTTACAATAGCCTTATGGAAGAAGTGCTGCACTTTTTGATGATCAGATTAATCACTATACATATTTAGAAACTTCTAACCAAATATATCTGGTAAAAGAAATGCTATAACACTCAACATGAGTTTAGGCTGTCCTAACTGAACCACCCCCTGAAACCCAAAAGGATATAACTTTTTCACGGTAATACTAATCACTATTAAACTGGTTACAGTCAATAATTATTATTTATATTGGTAGAAGGAATTTAAAAAGCTTTGTAATTTAATGGACTAAACACTAAACTTTCACGCTCAGTGCTGAATTCAAATACCACTCCAGTTTGGGCAACTTAGTAATATCCTACGCTTTCAAATAAGTGTGGCTGGCACCTCAAAATACAAACCTGCAACGGGTGGGGATTACCTTGCTTTACACTATAGTCACTTTCCAGTGGAGTCATGGCTCGATAGTTCAGGCACTTGATTTCCAACCGACTGGTCGCGGGTTCGAACCCATATCCATCTACCGAGTGAAGTAGAGAAAAGAGTTGAAGTAAAGCTGACGTAAAGATCCACACTGTAGCCAACTACTTGGATTGAAAGGTGTAGATTTATAACATTGCTGAACCCTAATGAAAGCCAGTACTAATAGTCAACACTCAGAAAAGATATAAGTACTGGTAATATTTATGGAAATTGAAAAGATGAACTACAAAACTGAACACCGTTTTTGTTATATTACTCTTAGCATATTTTCCCAGCTTCTAAGCGACCACAAAATCTTCACAGCTAATTCTGTTACAGCTCATACAACTAATGAAGAACAACCTTCAAATAATTAAATATATACCTGTTTCGTATTAGGTTATCTACCATATTTACTATGTAAGCGCAGGGGAGTGTGTTGACACCTTTGAACATTTGTTCACATATCCATGATATCACAAGAAGTATCAATACACACGAGTGCTACACTAACTGGCTATAACGCAGTATGGTCAACTAAAGAGTGAAGACTGAAAGTAGCTACTCATCTCCAATGGTGACTGCAGGAGATAATAGTGTTCAAAAGAAAACACATTCTTGGTAAGCAGTAATCTTGAAAACAATGGGAGTCAGTCTCATCTGATGGTCACTGACATCAACTCTAAGGTGGACGCAGATAGGCTAGATCGCTATTAGTTACTGTCGGAGGTCGGCTGACGATTGTCACTTCTGCAATATACGTTCGGATAATGACTATGTATGTGTCTGAGTATTAATTGGAGCAAAAAATTACAACTGGACAATATACCAACTTGCTAATGAAGTTACCAAGTTTGCATTGAAGGAGGAACCAACTAAATACATAGTAGGACTTGACAATACTGTTCATCTTTAAGAATCCAGTCTTTTGTAAAGACAGATGGCACCTTTAAATTACTCTCAGATAAAGTATGACAGATGCCGACGGTTTTCAAAAGTTATGCCTGGAGCCTTGGATGCAGGAGAAAGAATCTATTTGGGCTACTATTACAATGATGAGAGGAGGTAACCTGAATTTAGACTAAGAAACAAGTTGCACGATCATCGTAATTAGAGTTGAGCAGCCAAAGCTAACGAGTTTATTTATTCTACATATGTTTGAAGACCACTAAACCAACAGTAATCAAAACCTTTTCCACTTCCTCGCATTTCTTAAACACACTTCACCTTTTACGACGTTTGTTGTGAACGTACACACTACCGTAAACCAAGAAGACAGATGAAAACAAACATGGTACGACCTAACACAGTAACATTTGATCCATGAAACCAAACTTCATGAATCATACCTGAAATATTAGCCATGTCAAGTAGTGTTTCTGTAAAAACGGGAATTCTTGTAATTCAGGTTCATGATTTTTTAGTACTGTTTACAATACACATTTACTGGACCAAAATACATGCACTAGTAACGGTGACAAAAATTTTTTCCTAAAGTCTAGTTCCTAACTTTACATGATAAAAGCTCAAGGTTTGTGAAAAGATGACGAAGTGACAACCCCTATCACCGAATACAATTCTTACAAAGTGAGTTAATATCAATTGACTTCAAAGTTCAGAAGCATCTCAGCATATCACTGAATAATTTTTCATTTCTTGTTAAAGTTCTGTGGACGTAAAGACACTGATAAGGCAAATATGAATGGGGAAACGAAATACCCAATGCAGTTATTCCTCAGCCCAAGTTTCCATGGATCAAGATTCATTTAACAGTAATAGTAGTTATCAAAAGTCCTTAAAAAGCCGACCGGATGTGGCAGACACAAAGTAAAAGAAAAAGAATACGAATTTAAAACCAGTCCTCAAAGGTTCGAGAGAGAGAGATAAGCCACTCTAAAAGACGCAAGTCATAATTCTCAACGATCAGTTAATTAACTTATTTCCTAGTTTTCTGTTACACAGTAATCTTTTGCCTCGTCATTATGCAATAGCAACTAGGTGTATCTTATTCCCTGCTCCTCGGCAAAAACTGACGCAAAAAGCCGTAAACTGTCACACACTAATCGGGACTCATGGATCAGTATATAAACCAGTACCGCGTCGCAGTTACATAGAACATAGAAACATACAGCAGCAATTTAGTGTAAATTTAACTGTAGGTGAAGTCAAGACATATGGTTTGAACCGCACCGTGCTAGCCTTTTGAATAGTACGAAACGAATTTGAGCCACATGTTTGGTCCTACATTATCACTAATCACAGGTCTGCGATGTCCCCATAACTTGACCCTGGAAAGTAGTACATTCAGAGCAGCACTCAACGACGATGAACCGGGAAGTACAACCGTAATCTCCACGCATTGTGGCTTCGAATCAAACCCCTCAACTCCACTTAACAGTCGTGTAAAGATGCATACACTAAATGGTAACAGTCGTAGAACTGTAGGGTAGGCAAGCTCAATTCGCCTACTTATTCAATTTTACAGGGCAGAACTTACAACAACTCACAACTTTCAACATGAAGATAGAAATCCTACTAGTGACATATAGAACAAATGTGCTGTCTCTAGATTACACACCATTAAAGCTTCGAACTGACAACATTACAATATAGGAACTTGAGCATTTAAAAAAACTGAGTAGAAAATAATTTAGCTATTTAAAATTGGTGTGCAAGTGCCTGAAAGAGTGAACAACAAACAACACAACAAAAGTATGCGTTAATAACCTTACAATCCATCAGGTTAATCAACCAATATCAGCATAGAAACACTCATTGTTGCACAACGGTCCACGTTGCTACACCTCATATCAGCATAACAAGTAACAAAGCAGTAAGATGAGAGACGAAGAAACATAGAAAAATCGGTTAAATGCAGTAAAAAGCAATGATGAAAAGAGGAAGGAGGAATGAGTAAATGTGGAATTCGGTGCAGCGGTTAGAATGACAATAATTTATAAATACGTCTGCGCCACTGAAATCGATTCTGAACCATATCACTTAGAGTCTCCAACCACTGATTTATGTTGTCACGTGGACCCCAACCGGCGAGTCTGTATCTCCCAACATGGCTCAAGCCAACAGTCAAAGACTTCATGCAGTGAAGCCATGTTTTAGTCTCCTTGCCACAAGCCTTTTTCCAGCCAGAACATACTTCACCTACCATTAAGTGAGAAGGCAGACGGTGACTACCCATGAGTAACATGTCCAAGCCACCTCAGTAGGTTTACGACTATATCAGCTGACTTTCCACTCCTCAGAACTCTACAACTGACTTCTGAGTTACTCCCGTGGCGACACCACGAAACACGGTCTTTGCTATGAAGGCAATGGTGGTCAGACACCTGAAGCCTCACGTCCTATACTTCTAATGGTCATGTTTCACAGCCATACAGTAGAACAAAGCGGACTGCAGCACAGTGCACTAGATCCTTAATATGCAATAGGGTATCGCGATGGCGCCATAGATGGAATAAGTTGATGAAAGTCGATTAAGTCTTTCGTATCTATGCAGAGATTTCGTCGGCGACTGACCCACCAGGGTTGATCCGACCTCTCAGGTAAGTGAAGTGTTAAGTGGGGCACCACTGAAGACTATTCCTGTTCGTGGTTACTGCATAAACTTTTCACCAGTTTACGTTTGAGATGCATTCGCTCCTCATTGTACTCAGAGGTATCGGGAATGTGTTTGCGTGCATCCATTAGTTCAGAATAAGCGACTGAGTTCCGTTGGCTATTTTCAACCATTTTTTTTGAAAGTTGGCTAGTCTTTAGCGCTGTTTTTACAGCAGACTGGAGACGACACCAAACCTTCTGGATGAGTGATATAGGTCTGTTCCCATAACTGTAGAGCCAGTTTCTCACTAGAAGCAGCCTTACTCGTAATGGTCTAGCTTCTAAAGTTTTCTATGTCCATTGAGACGTAGGCATGCATGCGCTTAAACAAATGCGTCACCGCTATCCAATCATGTGCTCTAGAACGAGCGGCAGTCTTTTACTGACTCCCTTCTATGATAACTGATAGCAATGTGGTCTCTGTCTCCATCGCTGAGTTGAGCTCGGTAGACGCCACGACACATAATATCGATCGTTTGTCTGAAGTTTCTGCAGGCTCCAAATAAACGTTTGTCTGAGCGCAGTTGTAGTAGGCGATCGCATCATGTTTATTCGGTTGGGATTCTGAAAGTGCCACTTAAGTACCGTTATGCCTGACGTACCCTACTTATTTGTGCACTGAGATTACCTGCAACAACTACCACGTTTGAGCGCTTGGATTTTAGCGGGAGTTTATACAGTTTTCGGTAGAACTCATCCTTTACTTCATCCAAACTGAAGTCAGTGGGTGCGCCAGCACAGACTACAAAGAGACAACGGCAAGTTCCGCTATCCTTTCTAGTCCTTACTGGGCTGTTTAGTAGCGAAGTGCAAATATGACTGCTGAAGAGGGAACTCAGTGCCATACCGACATCTGGAAGACCGTGAAAACTAGTCACTGAATCTCCAGAAACTAGAAGAGTAATTTTTCCTTGCCCACCATATTGGCTAGATGAGGTTAAGTGAATACCGGCACGCGGATCCTATATGAATGTCTTACAAACGCAGTACACATCCATCACCCGATTTGCAAGTTTCGGGTATTGGAGTTTGTTGGTGAACTTGTCAGAGGGTCCAGATATCGAAAGCTCCGGTGTGTAATTTAGTGTGTTCTTTCAGGAGACCACGAGTGCAGTTCTGAGAACTTAGGTAGTCGTTGAGAACTGTGGAGCTAGGGGAAATTAAGGGTGGTGTATGTAAAGGTACGGATAATTAATCAACTTTTCGGTATTTATACTAAATCATTTCCGAATTATAAGTAGCATCAGAAAAATTAGCATTTCACATTCAACAAATCCCAGGCTTCATCATACAAAAGTACAGTATGCAGCCTTCCCAAATGCAAACAAAGCACATATATAAAGCAAAGACAGGAACTAAAAAACCACCAAAAATTACGCTGCAGTAATAAGTACCTTTAATACTTCTGATACACTTTGAGACCCATGTAGGTTCATAAAATATATTGGGACATTTTGGCTAAACATACGTGCCCAGTCTGCAATTCTACTGGGGACAGGAGGATCTAGTGGTTCACTGTGTAAAATTTAGTTGTCAAGGCTCACTAACTCACCCAGCAAACTGTTGTACCAATGTCTTGCACACTTTACGCAAAGGCATTTCAAAACTGCCCCACAGAGTCGGGACGCCTTGCTCGGCAAGATCCAGCGAATACTCACACAAAAATGTTGTTTTTTCCAACTCCTGTATTCCCGGATAAAACTGTCACTTCATGTGTACGAAAACCCTTGAGAATACGATTTAACTCGGTAAACCTAGACCACTACCAGGTAATTATTGATCATTAATATCCAATTACCGGTATTCCTTTTAATTCAGTTACTCTTGTTAGCTCGTTTATAGTTATCTTTAATAGATCCCCATCCAATCGTAAAACTCTACTCATCTAAACCTCATGTGCATGAATGTCCTTCAAACCAAGTAAACGCGTCTGCTTGACCTTCAGTCCTCTTTCAATCCCAATAACTTTGTATTGAGCAAATGTCTCACATTCATTATTATCGCTTGGTGACAGAGAAAGACTGAAGACAGTTTAGGAGAATACGCTGTATATTTGTGGTAGCTTGAAACATTAAGTGGGTTTTTGGGCGCTTCTTTAACTTTGATCGAAATGCGTCCAACATCAACAGTCTAGGCGCACGAGACTGATAGATTTTGAAATCTAGCACCCAGGTCTCAGTTTTCGGTTTATTTGTCTTGCCGTATTTTTTGGTGGCCACAAAAGTCTTTTCAATTTACCTACTAATGGCTTTGGAGGAAGGGTTCTATGGTTCTTCTGCAAATTGTAAGCTAGTTTTTCAAGGAAGCAGCAAAAATGGTACTGACAAAAAGATGAGCCCTACGTGGTTATACCCTGTATTTCCATACTCAAGCGTTATTCCTGAAGTAGAGAAAAAGATAGTGTGTATGGTTATGGATGTGTAGCGGAAGAGAGAAGATTGGGAAGCAATGACGGAAAACATTAATTTTACCGGCGGTAATATGAAGGGGTATGAGTTATGGTGAAGATGCCAGGATGATGCATCAAGGAGATGGATAAGTTGGATGGCTAGTGGCATATGTTGTTGGTAAGCTCCTTGGGCTCGCGTTCTTGTCCGGCATTTTCATGTGACAGCTTCCTGAGGGGACTGCTACTGAATATTTTGGCAGGGGGCTAAATGATTTCCACATTCTGCAAGGTAGTAGGTTGGATCAAACCCTCATTACAGCCACTTGGTGAAGAATGTCAGTAGGGTTTCCGGGAGAATTTCTGCATTGAACCTTCAGTAATTGTCCTGGTAAGAACTTGACAGACGCAGAAGCCGATCACTAATTATTCGAACCTTCCATATGCCCACGAGTACGAGACCTAGAAGGAACACAACAGCGTGGTCAGATGGAATAGTATATTTGCGAGGTCAGGCTGAGATAGCAATGCATTCCAGCTAACTGGCTAGAAGGTTGATCACGAGCAGTGCAACGTAAAACGACAGCGTGCCAAATGACGACGATGCTCGACTGGGTGTCTTCAGCTTAACGAGCCCAGTAAACCATCAAGGTCAGCGTCAGTGTTGAATGTCGTCGAACCCTAGGCTATTGGTTATGGATAGGTGTGTGTCGCTAAAGACCTATTACGTTGGTCCCTTTTACACCTGTTTCCATACTGCTACATGGCACCTCCTTTCCCTCCGGTATCCAGAGATAAGTAGACAGCGTTAACCCTGGTGGTTTATGTATGTTGCTTAGTCTGATAACTGATTTCGTCGCTTGACTCTGCATCTTCTCGAAAATGTTTCCATTCAGCATCACCGAGAAGGGTATGAGTGTCGAATTCAACTTTACCATGTGCGATCCAGGACAGGTTGTAGGAGCCTTGGAGATATATTTACTATCAAGGACCCTAAGTTGTCTTCTTATAGAGCGTGCGACGGCGTTCGCCTTTCCTACCACCCTTTATTATTTAGCAATGGCATCCAGTCTATCAGAGAAGCTTGGTCCTAGGTCCTCCTCTGTTGATACCTGGGCGACTGCAAAACTGCCGAGGGTATAGTCAGACCTCGTCGTTGTCTGCCTAAATATGTGTCACCTCACAAAATTCCAGGCCGAAGGTCAGACCGCTTTCAGTCATCCAAGAGTCCAACTACAACAAACCATCTTGAACTGTCTCGAGGTCTTCTTCCTTTCATATTATCCAAAATACTTCGATGTAATCAGGGAGTAGTATGAGAGGCGAGAAGGCTTGAGTATGCAGGCAATTTACGAGTGATAGAAAAGGGAGTGACCAATGGTTACTTTTCGAGACGATCTTGTCCTCGAGCTCCTTCAGTATGGCTGGGTTCCATTTACTTTGGTGCAAAACCCTCTTCCTTCTAGGTGTGCTCCGAACCAAGCTCCGACCGGTCTGGGGACGCCCGCTTCTGTAAATAAAGTCATCATGGCGCCCCTTGAGACATCACCGAAAGCCAAAACTGAGTCCGCAGACCCGTTGAACTGCTGATTTGTTTTCCCACTTAAGGGTTCAGATATCTTGTCCAGCCGTCAAGTTTGTGGGAAATTACCACCTGGTTCTGAAACTCTCCCAGGTGGGGTTAACAATCTTCTCCACCTTTCGGTGGCTCTCACAATATCCTGAACCAGCTTCACGGCATTCTTTCTTGCTCTTTTTGACAGCCGTCTTTTGCACGCACGCTTTGTTCACCTATAGAAAGGAATCCAGTTTTCGTGACCATGATACATTCATGAAATCGCCCGTTATGACATGACGGTTCACATTCCGGTGACGGCACAAGTCTCGAAGTGAAGATTTTGACGGGCCTTCCCCAGTTCTCATAAAGAAGCCTTCTTTTCCCTGAGAAAGACTGGGGGCTGGTATATTCAAGCATGAAATCGTTCTGCTGGAATGTAATCAAGCCATGATCCTTCTCCACCCCCACCCATAATAATAATAATAATTATCATTTGTCCCTTGAGTTCCTAATTAAACATAGGGCCTCGGAGGTATGTCTCCACTCCACTCTGTTCTCTGAAGTCATTTCAACCTGGCTCCACGACTGCCCACGAGCACCCATTTCCTCCTCACACGATCTCCTCCATGTCACCCTCGGCACCGAGGCCCAACTAGTCGTTTTCCATCTGGGTTCCACTCGAGGGACTAGCCTGGCGCGTGATCTTCCCAGCCGCCCTTCCCAGTGTATGCCCAATCCATCTCCACTTCCTGCTACTGCATTTGTTGGAGGACACCTTCTTGGTTGGTTCGTTTCCGGAGTTCCTCGCTGCTTATCGCTTCTGGCAATCCATCTGATCTTCAGCAGTGAGCGTAAGCAGTTGTTGATGAGTGTCCGTAGTTTGTTGGAAATGCTTTTCGCAACGCGCCAAGTCTCTGAACCATACAGAAGCACCGACTTGACGTTGGTGTTGAAAATCCGGATGTTGTTCCGCATGCTCAGTGCAGAAGATCCCCACACTGGTTTCGGGTTAATGAACGCCTGTCTTGCTGTCTTTCCAGTCCTGGCTTTGACGACCTCGTGTTTGCCGCCCGTAGTTGAAGCAATGCTGTCCAGACAGGTAAAGCAGGCTACTTCATTTAGGTTTCCCCCGTTGATGGTGATTGGAGCTTGTTGTTGTTATTGGTGGTGGTCGTGGTGTTGGTTGGATATCCCCATCACCTCTGCCTTCCCTATATTCACTTGAAGTCCCGTCTTCGCTACCTCTTCTGCCAACTTGTCAGTTTTCGCCTGTAGGTCTTCAAGTTTGTGTGACATCAGGCACAAGTCATCGTTGGCGAAATCCAGATCTTCTAGGTTCTTTTCCGCCATCCAGCCAGCATATCCCCCTCTTCTCGCTCCTCACTGTTTGCTGCATGATCCAGTCGAGTGGACCACAATCAGGAATATCATAGGTGATAGTAGACAGCCTTGTTTTACTTTTGTCTTCACTTCGAAGGCATCACTGAGCTTCCCATTGTGAATTACTTGGCATGTGGCGTCTTCATATAGTTACTGAATGAGGTTGATAAAGGTTTGTGGTATTCCGTAGTGTTGAAGCAACTGCCAAACTACTTGTCGGTCGACACTGTCAAAGGCCTTTTGAAAGTCGATGAAGTTGAGGTAGAGAGTTTGCTGCCATTGTATACTCTGTTCTCTGATGATGCGAAGCGTAGCAATTTGGCCCGCACATGATGTGTACTTCCTGAATCCAGCCTGCCTGTTCCGGTCTTAGTTTTGAATCCAGTGCATCCCTTACCCATAGGGTAATCCCTTAAATTGCCCCGTTAGTCGTGCTGTCATAGACGTTTTTTCATCGGAATACTTGTGCCTGCACCTTCCTTCTAACCCACATTAATTGCCGGTGTGTTAGCCATCACTTAAGACCACTTAGTCATAAGCCATTGGGGTGAATGCAGAAACTGCGGTGAGTGCCCCTTTTTTATGCCATATTCTGGTCATCGAAGAGTTGTTTCAGGCAGCTGGAAGATATGCGTGGATCATCGTGGAATGGCACCACAAGGGGTCTGACGGCTAGGCTTCTGCATTAAACGTTGTCCATTCAGCCATACGGTAGATATTTATGTATATGATCACTCCTCCTTTGTTTTGTACAGTCTGCCCTCTCGAAATGAAGTCATGCTGGTCGACTAAGGAAGATTCTGTTACAGATTTCTGCATTCAAACAAAAGGGCACTATTCTCAGCCTCAGTATTTGAACTCCTAACCACTTTGGACTACTTTAGAAACACGTCACGACATTTCGTTCCGGGCATAATGCTACAGGAGGACTTCTGAAGAGTTCGCCACACTGTTCCGATGTGTGACTGGCCCACTTTGAGAAACCCTGTCGTTGGGGTCGGGCAGTGTTGTGTGACCAAGCAATCATTCATAATGGGGGTAAGAAGAAAGGGCACCCAGGCGATGTTAGGGTGGGTCGGAAGGAATAAGAGCTCTGTAGGCTACAATTTGGTATCAGCAAAGCAGAACGGCAGCTGTTGTCCAGTGGTAAAGTGGGGAGGTGAAATAAAGAAGCGGCACAAAAGGTGTGCTGGAGGTCGAGTGGATGGGTCTATGACCGTGGTGGTACTGTTAGCAAACAAAATATCGGGTGAAAGATAAGGGTGTGGCAGAATAGTTATTCAAATCCCATTAACTTATGCAACTGCCCCATGAACCAGCATTATATTAGTGTTCGAACTAATCGTAGTCATGTGTATCGGATGCTTAAGATCATAACCAGTTTAAACCCTTCGAACCCTCTACTTCGTCTGTTATTGCTGCTCTCATTGTTGGTGCCTTTCAGATAAGCTCAATACACACCGTACGAAGCGACATGATACCCACTTACACATCCGTATTCACTCCGAAATTTACCAGGTACGATTATTTTATTCCACATGGTTTAGAGCAGTAGTTAGCCCGATGCCTAATATATCACCTGCTACTTATATGCCATATAATTCTGTGAACTCTTAAACCTAAA